GGGGGGGGGGGGGGGGGGAATTCTGGGAGTTGAAGTCCATCCATCTTAAAGTTGCTGAGGTTGAGGAACCCTGATCTAGCCCAACCTCCTGTTCAGGAATCTTTCTTCTCTTCTTCTTGAATCTTTCAGGAATCTTCTTCTTGAATCTTTCACCCAATCCTGCAAGATGCCAACTCCTCCTTTCTCTAGACTCTTTCCAAAGGCCATCTTCTTACTTTGGTTCCTTCAAGCTCCTGATACAATGGCTCTGCTCATGAGTGACTTTTCTAATATATATATGTAAGCATCCATTCTCACAGGAGTGGATGAAATGAAGATTGGCATGTGAGAAAAAGGGGCTTGTTGACAAACTTATCTAATTCACAGATGATCAAACATGCAATCTAAAATGCAATTGGCCTTGGAATATTCATGTGTTCAAATTTTACAGTCCAGTCTTCCAGTTAAGCAAAACACACACACAGACACATACATAAAACCAGAGAAAAATGTATCTGTTAGGACTAAGGCATGCCAACTCTGTACATAGGTGAAAGTAATATAGAAAAATGAATTATACTAGATGAAATTTTTTGAACAAATGCAGTTACAAAGAACAGGTGCATGTATTAGGATAAAGGTATGTGAAAAACGTATATATACTTTTATGCAGGCTTTAACAACAACAACAAACCAGAAAACATGACAGGAAAGCGATTCAAATAAATGCATAGTTGAACAAATGAGACTCAAAGGGATGGATTTATCTATCCCAAGTGCTGGAAGGGTGTATGGAACATCTCTTACCTCGGTCACAGCAAAGCTTCTTTTTCCACACGGTACCACTTTGTACCACTTGTCATGTAAGACATCCATGAAGCCGTGGGACTTATACTGGCTGATCAGTTCAGAAATATTTGAGGTCAGTGGAGAGTTTGGAGGAAGGCCAATACCGTACCCTAGCAAAAGAAAACACCAGTATTTTTCTCATTAGATGATGCTTGCCCATGCTTGGGACATAATTGCCAAACAAGAATATTTAAAATTGTAGCTTTGGCAGATGGCCATTAAAACATCCATTGTAACCTCTGTAGATACCTGTTCCTTTAACTCACTGAACAATGGAATATTATCCTCTACCTTGGTTCATAGCAATGGCAACCTTTGCAGGAGTGAGAATTTTTCCTTCTCCTTTGGGAAGGTTCTGCTGTCAATGCCACTATTAGCAGATATACAAATTACACACAAACAGCAGAAGCACCAGAGATGTCCGGTGAGGACATGGTGAACTGATGTCCCTAAAGCAGCAAGGGTGATATTACAACTGAATTGGCAGTCAGATGCTGGATCCGGGCCGCTGAAATCTCTCTGGAGAAAGGAGAGATCATGAGATTGCCCACACGTACTCTGGACAGCTACTACTCATGAATAGATGGGAGGAACTGAGGTTTTTGCCGTCGCTGGGAGTCGAGGGATACCAACTGGCTCACAGTCATAATGTAGCCTATATGGACAAAAGGTTCAGCTGATCCGCATTTCTTAATCATCTTTGGAATTACTTTTTTACTCTCTTTTAAATATTGAGAAACTTCAGAATGGCACATTTTACAGCATTCACTGGGTGAGTTTCCTTCAACCCTTAGTGAAAGAAGTTTTAAGTACGAATTTAAGGACTTAGAAAAATGATGTTTGGGATTAAACAGCAAAAGGGTGATTAAAGTGTTGGTTTTGAAAAGTTATAAATGGGTTAAGGGTCCAAATGGATTTGAAATAAGTTTTTGAAATTTATTATATGAATCCTTCCCATGGGAAACTGCTGATGTTTTGAATTCTAAAAATAAAAACATGATAGGATGGGCCTTTGAAGTTTGGACACTAGAGGGAACCAGAGGAGCTAAAGATTGCAATTAAAGGAGAAGGACACCTAAATTTGACTTACTAATACAGAATGAAGCAAATTACTTGAACATCAGAAGCTAATTTTAAAAATATCTGCCATCATAGATAGACAGTTTGTAAATGTTGTTGTGGAAGAGGAACAAGTTCTACTGGTTGCAATTTTCTTCTTTCATTCTGCTAACCTTTCTCTCTTGTTTTAGCCACCTCCTCCTCCTCCTCTCTCTCTCTCTCTTTTCTCCCCAGACTATTTAAAAACCAATCAGCCACTCTGGCCAGGAGCCTGAATTGCTGGCTTGCTGATGGCTTTCGTCCATAATTCCATCCATTGCAGCTTATTTATCTGTCCCTTTTCTTTTTGTTCTCTCCCTGCAAAAGAGATTAAGCTGAGGACCACACCCAGGTCTCAGTCTGCAGGTTCCCCATAAATCATCAGTGTTAGCATGTCTTTAGTCATGTGAAAGGCATCCTAAAGTGGTGGCTGAGTAAAGGTCTTTTGGTCTTCCATAAGGCAGATAAAATAACAATGCAAATCTCTATAACATAATCATGGAACATAACTCTTTCTCCTTCCTTCCGGCTATAACTGTGAATAGGTTTAATTGATTACAATGTTGTTGGTCAAGTGAGAGCTGAGTAAAACTCTCCTTATCCCTATAAGTGAGACAGACTTTTCATTAACTTTTTTTAAATGGGGATTTCTTCATCATCACAATCAGGTCTCGTACAGCAGCGTACAGCATCCAAAATCAGTAACAGTATAATATCAATATAAAATAGTACAATATACAATAATACAAATTTATTTTGAAAATTTGTATTCTGATGCTGATGGCTCCACACTGATTAATCCACAAAGGCCTTTTAGAAAAGCCAAGTTTTTTATGAGGTTCCAGAAGAGCCATGAGAGAAAAACTTGCCACCCTTGCTTTGGGGGAGTGAGCTATTCAAAAGGGGGCACTTCAGAGAATCCCCACTGTGGAGTCCCCTCCATCATACCTCACATTAGGAGGGGCCCTCAAGAGGTGCTCTCTGGTCACCTGGACTGGATGACCAGAATCTATCTAGGAGAGGTAGTCTCTTAGCCAGCTTGATAAGCTTGTGATATATTTGACAAGTTTTCCAAACATTTGGAACCTTTCCCCTACCTTTTCCTGAGTACTCTCAACTTGCTTTCATAATCCTTGAAATGTAGTGGCCAGGAAAAATCCCAAATGCTTTAGGTCTGGTCTAATTATAAAATTCAGTGTGTGTCCCAGAGTCTCTCTGAGTCTCCTGAGATATGTTAGTTGGATAGTTAAATCAGAATACTTGCAGCTTTGTTTCTCCTATCAAGACACATATTTCCTTTCAGTATCATTATTTAAAACACTAGTTTTTGTGCACTAGTATCCAGCTACATACTAGCTAAGAAGTGGGGCCAAGTAGTTAGTACTTGGATGGGAAACTACTGAAAAATATCACATGGACCTAGAAAGAGTGTCTAAGAAGTTGATGGGAAACCCCTTCAATACTGTGGCTAAGAGAACTATAAGGCAAGTCCATGAAGTTACCACAAGTGAAGAAAACTTTAGCTTTTTACAGTACTGTTATTTGGATTTTGAACTTCATCCAAACAGCATAACATTCCCAAACACTGTGCCATTAAAATGAAAAGAACCCTTTCAACCCACTTAGTTCCTCATATGAAAATATGAATTATAAATCATGTGTCAGTCCCAGTCCTACAAAAGGGGTTAAGATACAAAGTATTCACTAAGCTGCCTTCTCCAAAACACTGTTCTGACAATTTTACAAAATGTACAAAATCAATATCATTATATTCCCTTCCCCAGCCCTAAATGCATTGCCATCTTATACAGGATCCTGTAGTATAAAACCAGGGGATGGGAGATACGGGGACTATAAGTCCATGAAAAGTTTCTGTAAGATTCCCTCCTCCCCTTTAGTTGGTTGATTTATTTGTTTCTTGTTCTTTCTAGAATGTCTACATGAGCCATAGAATCAAACAACAGCTTCTGGCAAAATGAAATATAAATAAGTTTTTTCCCATTCTGTCAAATCAACAATAATGAAATTATTCAGACGGCAACCTCAGCAGAATCACAATCTTGAAGCATCTTCCACCTGAACAATTTTATTTTCTGTAATAGTACTACTCTATAAGGGTTGTGGCCTGTAATCAGCATTTGATAAAACCACATACATTTTTTTGGCTGTGTATGTGCTCATGCATTTTTATGCTTACACATCATCTATATCTTAGTATTTTGTTGTGCATAACTGTGATTTTTTTCTTCATCTTTTGTTGACATATCCATCTTTGTAATTGACAGGGTACATGTGGAATGCATATTCCTTGGCATGTAGAGACATTTTGAAACATTTTGTAAGGTCCACATCAATGGGGGCTGGGACTGTTACATCAACACTATTTCTGACTCAGCTTCTTGCTTGCAAAATCCTGATATTCATTCCTGCTTCATGTGATAACATAGTTCTAACGATTTTTTTGTTTGATCACACTAAAGTATAACAAAATGCTGATAGAATGGAATAAAATGGTAGGAACCAGTTATAAATGATCAAGTGTAGACCCATGAAAAGTACTTGGCATTGACAAAATTGGGATACTCATCTAAATGTATATCTTGATGTTTTCTGCATCGTGAGTCACTATAATTCCGAAAGCTAATAGCCTCAGAGGTGTTATGACTCAGGTCCCAGAATTCTCCAGTCATCTGAATGAATGAATGAATGAATGAATGAATGAATGAATGAATG